AAAAAAAAAAACTGTAATTACAACAAAGAGTGAAATAAATTGAATTGAATTGAATATTCTATATGCGCCCAACGCTTTCATACCCTTCCTAGAAATAATCATGAAAACGCTAAGATTTTGTATGAGCATGGCAAACGCTTCTAAGATATCGGTATAACGTTCACTCAAAAAGCAAGTAGGACACATAGCGCACAGCCGTGCTTCATATGTATAATAGCAGGACCATTTTTTCAGAGCGCTCGCAGCGCACTGGCTCTGTTGTGCTGTATTTTCACTGCTCGAGCCTCAAGAGACTGAGTCGAGCAAATACGATGCTAAGCAGTCTCTCATCGACATACATATATTCGGCGCTGAAAACGTTTGCTCTACATGTCTCATCTATGTGTTGTTTGGTCAGTGGCCACAAGGAGCCATATGAAAGAACAAGCTCAGTGGCTCAGTTCAGTGAGTTATTCACTTTGGCTCACTCACTCATGAGCTACCCAAGTCTAATATACGGTCAATCAAAAAGTCGTCTCTAGCTCTTATGTATGTATGTATATCTTCTGAAATCGACGCGTTCAAACATGCGGACAGACAGACGAACTGGGTTAAATCGACTATCACTTTGAGTGACTAAGGATATCATGGGGTTGATGACCATAAAAAAATACTTTACGGCGGTCATATATTATGCATTATACATAATACATACACCACTAATTTTACATGCAGATATGTACATATTCCTAGAAAAAAAAGAAGGCAATGCATTTTTATATGGCATGTGGAATAACTACTAAGCCGGCAGTTACCAGGTGGTGGTTCTGGTTGCCAAGCAATGAAGCGGTCAAGTTTCTGACGTTAACGAAGTCAACAAAAGAGCCACAACAAATAAAATGAAACGTGAACATATGTATGTATGCATATAATTTTGCTGGATTAATCGCGTATTCAGTTGAATTTGTATAAAGTAAGCAGGATGTCGTTCAAAGAAGTACGTGGTGAGTGGTTGAGCTGGGGCTGTAACTTTTTAAAGTTTTGCTATTTCATCCTTGTTTTTGATGCTCTCATCCATCAGATTTGAGTGAGCAACTCAAGTTGGTGGGCTTTCCACGAGTACTTCCGCTTCAAGCGCTCGCCACTCAACATGGTAGCCTAGCTAGCTTTCATATTGTGGCCGAGTTAATACAATGGGTCTCTGGGCTGCTGGAGCCGGGCGTTATTCTGGCCGGTAACGTGGAAACGGAGGAACAGCGTGTGCTGCTCATACGCGCAGCTACTGAATTCTTTGTGATAAAGGCAGCCATAAAGCTTAATCCGCGTAAACTCTATGCCGCAGCGGCTGTTAGTTGCACCGAGTTACAGAAGATAACAAGCCTACTCATTACGCCTACTCACATAGAGGAAGATGCCGAGAATAGAGATGAGCAACGTGAGCAAGATTGCCGTCTCTATCAAGTAGACATTGGCGACAAAATGGATGCGTTGCGTCGAGCGCGCGACCTATGCTCGGATTTAACACAGCGCGGTGCTGGTCTTTTCGATCTGCTATCTAAGGAGCTGATCAACAAGTCAGTGCGTGTCGCGCAGGTGCAACGCCCTATGGAACTAGTCAGCGTGGAGCGCACTTTGAAGAACGCTATCCAGACCAGCCATCTGAAGCTGCAGTCCAGGCGTGCCCAACTAGAGAATGCCCGTGTGGAGCTTAATGCGCTCAGCTCTAAACTTCTGCGCAAGCGAGCTGAGCTGGAGAGAACCAAGCAGCGACTAGAGGCACTTCAAAAAATTCGGCCCGCCCACATGTCAGAGTTTGAGGAGTGCGAGAAGGAGCTGCAGCAACTATTTCAGCGCTACTTTCTACGACTTCATTTACGTGATGCGCTTCGTACTCTCCAGAAAGCACGCACCAAGCGACGTGACACACCCATTTCATCGCCAATGCTTCAGAAGCCGACAGAGAGCTCGATGTCATTTATACCAGAAAGCCTTATGGAAGACGATGACGATGAAGACGAAGATGGTGCTGGTGAGCATATAGGCAACGGACTGTCACGCGAGGCGGCCTTCGGACTGGATTCAGAAATATCCGACATACGCGACGAGGATTTAATGCTACAGAATACCACAGTAGACAGAAGTGTCCCTCTCGGTTCGGTTGTAGGCTCGACGGCACCCAATAAAAGGCCCGGGACGGCCACCTCTCGCAAGCGTCCCACCACTGGTCATAGTCGTCAAGCGGCAGCCATAGTATGTGTAGCTACCTCAAGCGGAGCGCGACCCAGACGCAACGGACGAGATGGACCAAGTAGCAGCATGCTCAATCGCTTAGGACATCACGACAGCAGCTTTGGCAGTTCCGATAGTGAACTCAACGTGGACATGGGCTCTGGCAAAGGCGATGATGATTGTAAGTCTGAAGCGTATATTATTAACGTCAATTGATATTATTTTTGTCTCCTTACTCTCTATTTCCTATTTCAAAATCTTCATCCAGTTGATCTTAACTCTATTGATGATATTAGCATATCAAAGCTCACGGGCGAGCTGCCACTGCGCCCGAAAACGGCGGTCAAACCGGAGCACAATAGCGATGAGGATTTTTAGCGAAACGAGCTGATGTACAGAATTATGGACCATAAATGAATAATGAATGTACCATTTGTAAACTATAGTTGATGCATTAATTAAGCATCGATATTCCCGTAATCTACTATTTAGCTAACATTAATAAAACATTGATGTCTCATTAAACTATCACTAATACACGTGTTATACGAGTATACTTTATTCGTTTATTATGCAGACACGCCTAATAAATTGGCTGATATATATTTAACAGACAGAAAGAGGAGTGGCAGACTGCACAAAGTATATATATTCTTGATCAAGCCGACAAGCTGAGTCGATTTAGCCGTGTCCGACTGTCTGTCTACCCGCCTGTCCGTATTTTTGAACGCGCCGATCTCAGAAGATATGAGTTAGAGACTTAAAATTTGTTTCCTAGCCTCGGATATATCTCCAATAATAGATAAATACTCCCAATATTCATCATCGAACGATATATGTATATACATTGTGGGGTCTGCCACGCCTCCTTTCCCCTGTTACATACTTTTAACAAAGCCAATATGCCATGATTACCCATTGAAAATGGATTCAGTGTATAAAAACAATACATACATAGATATTAAAGAATTGGATGGGGGATCCATGGTGAAGCTATTTACAAAAGTTACTGAACATAATTTGGGTCCACTGGTGGATCTAAATCCCCACATCGCGGCAAACAATTTTTGCTTTGCTTGGAGTATAGAAGCTGGAAGCGGCCTTCTGTCTGTAGACATCGCTGCGCATTGAGGAGGTTGATGAGGAGTAGTCAAAGTGGCTGTTGACTTGCGATTGCTCCTGGCGTTCCAGGAAACTTTCAGCTATTGCTCGATCCACGCCGGTATATTGAAAATTTGGAGCACCACTCAACACATCTGTCTCGGAGTTACATTGCTGGCGGAGATTTTTATCAAACTTTTCAATAGCACGACCACGTAGTCGTTGCCCATTCAACTTTTGCGGCTTGGTGCTCTTATTGGCGCGATAGCTGCCCGTTAAACTAACCGGATGGGCATAGAGTACAGACGGTCTCATGTAGGGCAGTGTCATACCTCTATAATGTGGGGGTGGAACCGGCAGCAGCATGCTAGCCTCGCGGCTGGGAGGTGAGGGAGGCAAGTATGTGGGCGGTGGTGGAGGTACCTGCAAATATGTAGTTCTAGATTAGATTAGAAATATATTTTTATTTATTTTATAAAATGTACCCCATTGCCGTTAACTGTGGCTGGTATGAGCATAATGGAACGTGATGCGGCCGTAAGCTGACGCCCCGTTTTCTGTGGAGGTGAGAAGGTGCCGAGATGAGTGGCATACATCCACATAGTAGTCAGTTCCTTGTTGTTTTCCTGAACAGAGCGATAAAAGAACCATTCACAGCTGAATTTTTCTATTGACTGTAGCCTAACCTTTTTGTTGTCATTTAAAGACATTGCTTTAATGTACTGCTCCACCTTTTGTTGATCCAATGCTATTGACGATTCGCTTGGCTTTATAATGACATCGAGTAGTTCATTTGGTTGTGATCTGCAAGTAAATAAACTGTAATATGTATATATACATATACATACATATGTATGTATTAATATTTCTGTTTTAATTTTCAAGTTTAAAAATTTTTGATTTATTTTTATTTACATAATGATGGCTAAGTATTACCACCAACCGTAGTGGTATTACGCACAATAACAAGAAAGCTTTAGTCGAGACTGCTCAACTACGACTTCCTCTGAACCCTTCAAGCAACTGATATTTTAATAATTCTTTGCGTATTTCTGCTTACACAAGAAATACATAATATATAAAAATGACTAAATATAATTATAAACAAAAAGTTAGAAACGCTCGGAATTCAAGGAGTGGTTAAGAAAGGACGTAACAGGTTTGACGAGGGCTTATTGCAGCTATTGCAAGTGTACCATATCGTTATCAACTTATCATTATAAACATTCATTTTAAGACGAATGTACAAAGTAATCAATTAGTTTAAAGTTTATTAGTTATTTTCATTATGTTTTTCATGAATATGATATTTTTTGTTATAATATTAGTATTTACATATGTATGTATATCGGTAATAACAATATAAAACAAGTAAGAAGACTAGTCGAGACTGCTCGACTAGGAGATATCCTGAACCCTCCAAGCTGATATTCTTATCATTCAGCACTTCTTTTATGCACACATACATACACATGCATCCATCTTCACACGCCCGCGCTCTGCTAACTGCGCAGTAAAAAGCGGCTGCGCTTAGGCTGCGCTGCAGTTTGGGCAATAGTATGAGAATTTACTTGCGAATAACTTCTTTTGTAAACATACGATCTTAATGAAATTTGCAGGGCGTAATCATATGCTCAAAATGTGTGTACATTCCATTGAACATGGGAAAGGGTTTTGTTAAAAGTATGTAACAGGTAGAAGGAGGCGTGGCAGACCCCACAAAGTATATATATTCTTGATCAGAGCGACAAACTGAGTCGATTTGGCCCTGTCCGTCCATCTGTCCGTATATAGCGCGCGCATATCGAGTTTATCAACAATGATAGCTCAATCCGAAAATCAGTTAAAAAATTATATCTCCCACATCTTTAAAGCTAGAATGTCCAAATTTTAAATATATATTAAAACGCATTTTATACAAATTCGGTATTTGTTCAAATTTCAGCTTTTATCTTAATATGTAATTTCACAAAATTGAAGTGTTCATATAAGTTCAAATTTTTAAGGCCAAGAATAACTTTTTTTTATTGCGACTATCGACCTCTATCGATGGTTTGGAAATTACTATCGTCCTCAATCGATGGGGTCCACCATCGATAGTTTGGCACCTCTAATACATACATATGTACATATATCACCAGTGTTGCTAGGTTTGAGACATAAAAATAGCAAAATCGGCTTTAAAAAATAGCTAAACAAAATTTGTAAAACAGCTTACAAAATAGCTGAACTAACTTTATACATTTTAATGGCATGTAATATGGCAAAAATACTGAATTTGCCGTATATATATATACCCGCGTGTTGTTCAACTCGTCGTTTCTTATACAATCTTTAAAATCTGTGATTTTCGTGCGCGAATCATGAAATTTTTGCTTATAGATTTTCTCCATTTTGTAATACACTCTTTCACACAATTAATGCGCAATCGGTGATGGTGTAAATGAACCACTAGTGATGATCTATGCTAGTATATGTATACGATAAAGTAGTGGTGGTAGAATCCCACAGATCATTAAGTACAGTTCGGGACTTAGTTGAACATTTTTTTTCTTTAAATACTGAAATAAAATTAAAAATATTCTTTTGTAATATAGCTAGATTTATAGCTAATAGCATTTTCAAAACTGCTATAGCATTTAGGATTTTAAAATAGATAGAAATGCTATTTAATAGCTAATCTGGCAACACTGTATATCACAAGTATTTGTTACATAGAGATGGAATTATTGCAGAACTAGTGAGACTTTAGAAGTTGACAGATTGTTAGTTTGTCAATTAATCGTTCATTGAGAAACTTTCTTGTGATAATTAAAATCAGATATTAAAAAATAAGAAGCTGTTTTGTTTCCTAAGTATGCCACATTTTTTGCTAACCGCAATTCCCAAATTTATTCCGCAATCGCTTTTGAAAATAAGCCAGATCTGGCCGAAAATTAGCCAAAACGGTAAAACCGTAACACTGATTCCGGAAAATACTTACATGCGTCTCTTCGTGCCAAGTGGTACATTATCGATGGATGAAAAACAATCGATATATCAGGAGAGCCCAAATCCATCGATTCTATCGATAGTCACCATTGATGGATTTGCATCTCTACCGCGAACTATTGAGCCACTTATCGATTGAATTGTGGTTGGCGATAGAAGTTGCAGCATCATGAACGCTAGGTGGCGTTTGAAGAATCACTGAAGTCATTTGTAGAGTCATCTATGTTTCAAATTTATATACGCTATCGGACAAATACTGACATTAATACGATAGTTCGATATACATACGTGTGTAAACCCAATATCCATCTCTTATTGCATAGCAGCTGTCTGTTCTGTTGTGTTTCATACAAATTCGTTGAAGAGTGTATAAAATCAGATTTAGTAAAAGCTGAATCTCTCGCGGTCAGTACTAAGCGCTGGCTTTGATTACTTATATCAATATAATTCAGTGCATTAATACGGAGCACATAGAATCGACAAACAAATTATTGATTTTTACAGAAGTACAGATAAATGGGTAAACTGTTGTCTTTAATTATTGATACATTGTTGGTGATTGCTTACGGAAGCATTCAAGTGATGGTTTAGAACACATGAAATGTAAAAGATTTAGTGGAATAAGCATTTTGAACTCAACAAAAGTAAAAAGAATACCTTAGCCGATTGTTGTCAAGTAGCAATCGATATTACAGTAGCCGCAATCGATTCCAAGTACACAGATAGAATAAAGATAAACCTCGTCTAAAAGCCATTTCCGCTGGGTTTATTCCCGATTTAATTTTATTTACCATATATTGCCGTCATTTAAAAATAATAGTGAAGAAAAGACAGAGCAATCGACGAATTGAAACATAAAAACGACGGTAAACTCGCCACGTCAGTGGGAGTGAGCGAGAAACAGTGACCAAAGGCAATAGCGTTAATAAACGGCAACTGAGTGGCAACTGTTCACTCTCCCAGCAATGTTGAATAACTTTAAAAACCGCTTTATATCGGCCATAGAGCCAGATCTGAGCTCTGCCGATCTGTTGCCAGACAAGTTTCCCTATGGGCGGCCTCCATTCTTACAGCTGCTCACTGCCGACGAGTTACGTGCCTCTGCTAATCATAATGTTCGACCGATTATTGTACCTCGCGACTTAAACCTATTGCCCTGGGGTACTGGATATGCCGAGTGCATAAACTCTGGCAAATCAAAGTGGAATGAGGATCAAGCTGCCTTCTGTCGGTAAGTTTTATTAATGTTGTCAAAAAAAAAAAAAAAAAAAAACGTACATATATGTGTATTGTTAAATAGTTAACTATTATAGACAATGAAAACAGAAAGCCAACCAACTTTTCCTGCACAAATTTACCGAATTTGCCCAAATTGTTAAAAATGATTTTCCATGTTCATTGGATTCAAGGCATAAAAAAAATCGCACAGCATGCTACAATATAACATATGTGATGATTCTTAAGAAATAGATTTATTGAAATATACCGTTCACAGGCAAGTCCTTACGGATCCAGAAAAGAAGTATCCCGATCTGCCCTATACGTATTTTGGAATATTCGATGGCCATGCTGGATATGGGGCCGCATTGGCCGCCTCTCATCAATTTCATGATATACTACACGAGATGCTGGTGGACTGCAGCGAGCTGCTGCTGCCACGCGATCAGGTGAACGACAACAGCAAATCTCATGAAAATCCGACATTTCCGCATCCGACATACTTTCAACGGCGGGTCAGTAGGGATGAACTTATTATCGGTGCACTAGAGAGCGCCTTTTTCCATATGGATTGGCTAATATCACAAGACAGAAACTACTACAGAGATGCGGGTGGCTGCACGGCCTGCGTCACACTCTTTATTGATGGCAAAATGTATGTGGCTAATGCTGGCGATAGTCGGGCTGTGCTCTGTCAGAGACGAGCGGGAGCTGGAGTCGCACTTAGCGTTACTCAGTCAACAGCAAACCCCAATAAAATTGAGCCGAATCCGATGGACGGCGATAACAGTTACCCGACGGCCTATTCTGCCGATCATACACCGGAAACAGAACGTGAGCGTTTAATGAACGTAGCGCGCTTGAAGCCCCAGCTAATGGGGCAACATTATGTGGCCATGGAATATGCGAAGCGGCCACACATTACAGACATGGGCAAACGTATATTATGTCGCCAGGGTACCATGAAGGGTTGGACATACAAGACGCTGACGCGCAATGATCTGCGCATACCTGTGGTTAACGGCGAAGGTAAACGTAGCCGATTGCTGGGCACGCTGGGCGTAACTCGTGGCTTTGGTGATCATGATTTATTAGCCATTAATACGGGCGTACAAATAAAACCATTCCTAACGCCACATCCCGATGTGCGACAGCGTGATCTTAGTCAGGTTGTTAGCATACCCGATGAACACAACGAGGATGGTGATTATGGCATACTCGTAATGGCTACCGACGGACTCTGGGATGTGTCTGAAAATGATGCCGTCTCACGCATCGTCTTCCAAATGTTGTCTCGTTACCCCAGGGAGAAGCATCGTTACACAATGGCTGCCCAGGAACTAGTAGCACGTGCCCGTGGAAAAATCAACGATTCTGGTCATTGGCGCTTAGCGGACAGCAAAGCGGCGGCTACAGTCGATGATATTTCAGTTATTGTGATTCCTGTTTATCAGTATTACAAAGAGCATATTGAGTGGACGCACAACGATACGCGTGAACTTGAGAGACGACGGCGCAAGGCAGCCGAAGACAACATGGCCCAGGAAGCAGTAAATGCGTTCAATGACATTGCTGCTGAAGAGGCGCATGTTGTGGAAGAGCGCAGAAATTTACAACAGCAGCCAGCAATCGTAAAGACGGAACAGGTTATAGCGGGGCCGAAGCAAGAACAAGAAAGGCAGAAGCAGGATCAGCATGTTCAGTCTGAATCAGAGGAAACTCTTGTTGAGGAACTAAACGATAACTCACCACTTCAGGCGCGCCTCGAAAGTGTTAGCGAAACGCTTCAACAAGTACACCTGGAAGCACGTACAAAAGGTATATAACTTGACCAATATCTCACTAACGTAACTGAGCCTGTGATCCAATTACAGCCATATTTGGGGAGATAACAGCGCCGACAGCAGAAGCATCATCAGCTGTAACAACGTCAGCAAATAAACAACGCAGCAATCGCAAAGGGAAAGGCAATAAGCAGTAGAGAGAGAATGCGAATATATATATATATATATATAAATATATATTATATATATTATATTATAAATATATATTATATATATTATATTATATATATATATATATA